TTCCGATAAGATGACAATTCGTGAAAGTGAACTGATGAATACCATTAACGCCGCCACTGCCATCATTGGACAGCGGAGTGATCTTCGACAATCCGTGGTCTCAAGTCATCCGGGAAATTCGATCGTTACCTCGGATGCAAAGTCGTCGAGTGATCTTGCGTCAACAAGCGATGGTGTAGGCGTTGGGACCGTTGCAGCTCATCAATCATCGACATCACGTGCACCTCCAATTAGCACTATACCCGAAGGGGAAGGAAATTCGGGAGATGAAGAATTAAGAGATACACAAAGTCAACCGGCAGTGGTAGCGGCGACAAACGATGAAGAAGCTGGCGGTGGCAGTAGATATAGAGGATCGGTGTACGAAAGTGGAGTGCCATATCGTGCAAGATTTCCGTTTGTGGCAAGGGATGATGAGTTGGGATTTGAAGTTGGTGATATTATTTACGTGACCGACACTAGCGACGAAGTGTGGTGGAAAGGAGCTAAAGATGATGGTATGAATCTAATTAACCTAGGATCAATTTTCCCATTGAACTTATAGACTAATTATTTCTTCTTTTTTCTCAGGAACCGGAAAATTTGTGTTGGGATTCTTTCCAAAAACATATGTTGTACCAGAGAACGAATCGTGAATATTTGTGGCCTTGTAAATATTTGATAAAACATTTGCCTCGGAGTTTCCACGAATTTCATCAATTTCGAAAAAAAAACATGACCATCTTCTCCTTATATTAAAAGTACTTCCCTTAATGCCAAGAGATACATTTGACGAATGATCTCGTATGCCCGAAAATTCCTTTATATATACGAAGAAAAAACTTCCTTTACATTTACGAAGAAAAAAAAAAGATTTTATTTTAATTTTTTTTTTTTTCATACCACATCACATCCACTCATTGAAGCCATCCCCACTTACTACAGTACAATATATACCTATTTATCTTTTTTCCTTTTATTATTATTATTATTAGATACATTCTTTTTCTTTTGTCGACATAATTCTACCTTTGACAGCCTGGTCCTAGTGACAGGAAAAACTTACCAAAATTATTAAACAATGATGTGAATCAGACCCAAATACAAGAACAAACTTTATTAATACCAAACTTTTTCTGTTAAATATTATTTATACATCTACTTAATTTATTCTGTATCACATTTTAATTCCTTCGTAAAATATATCATCGAGTGAAAACTCTCCATAAAAAATATTAGCGGTGATGACGATGTTCCTCCTACAGTGTGATACTCACTTTTATGTACTTTACTATTATTTATAACTCCCCTTGTATCAGTAGTCTCATATTTATTTATCTTTGTCTTTTCGGTAGATATCATTCATCTTTGGTCGAGGTTATCTTGGCGGGTAATGGGATTTCTTCATTGCAAAAAAAAAAAAAAAAAAAAAATCAGGCGGGAATTTTCGGACACTAATTTTACTGGGGCCGTTTGGACGTTAGATTTCCTGGCGAAAAGCAGAATCAAAAAAAAAAAAAATTTTTTTCGAGGTCCTGTGCATTTGAAACTAAAAAATAATAATAAAGAACTCTTATTACTTTATAATAGGAATTGCTTCAATATATGGTTAAGATATTATTACATCGTATATATTACGGTTAGTTATACTGTAAATCCATTTTTTTCATTTTATTGAACGCATGCCTTAATGCGCTATTTAAAATCCAATCTCATAAACAATTTGCTTCTATAACATGCGATCGAGGTAACTTGAAACGTTTGCTCAACCCGTTTTAGAAATAACTATAATCTGCCAAGCTTTTTTTTTATTGCATTAATTAATGCATTTTAAATGCTCCTAAGAAATTGATTTTTTAAGAAGAATACAGAATTTCTGATATACAAATAAAAGTCCAAACTTTATAATATATTTTTTTTTTTGCAATACCGTAGCCAGGGCAAACTACCAATTGAATACATAAGTACAATTCATGGTATATATTATAGTTAAACTATTTATCAAATTTAATAAACAATAATAACCTCTAAGTTTAATCTTGGAATTAATATTTTGTTCTATAGTGAAATTTGGATTGAAATTCTTTTAGATTGCATGTTGTCACTATAATGCATCTTATCAAGCTATCGAAATATTAAATTGAAAAATGAAAAAAAAAAATATTAAAAATATACAATATATACAGTATATACAGTATATTAAAATTATTTTTCTTTATACTGCAGTAGTAACCTGCAGGCAATGAAGTTAACAGTTGGAAGGGTCTTTACCTGAACTGCTAATGGAGTGATAAATCACTCCCAAAGTTGCACTTAGAGTTTTAATAATTCTTAAAATAGAGACGAGTGAGTTAAGTAGAGATTTAGCTTTAGCAATATATCTTTAATATAAAGTATACACATGTTTAATAAAGCACACATACCTAGTCTAACAGAGGATTTTAAAAAAAAAAATTATTTTTCTTTATTTATATTATGTATTTTGATATTTATATATATATTTGCAAAACTAAAATATACAGTATAGTAAATAATATATAATCTATTTTGCAAAAAACTTATTTTAAAAAAATTAATATATTTATAATAAATAATAAAAAATATTTTTTTTTAAAAAACTGGCTCATCTTTGCTTTAAAAATTAATATATATATTTAATATGGAGATTAAATTCACAATTTTGTAATTAAGAGTCTTATATTTTATCAAATGAACTAGTTAAACAACTTGTTTAAATAATAAAATATATATAATAGAAATTAATAAAATATATATATTAAAATAATAAATATTAATAAAATCTCTTTTCATCAATCCTTTGACTATATATAAAAAAAATATTCACAATAAATTTTTATATTTTCTTGTTAATAAAGCCTTAGTACTTTTCTTAAAACAAATTGAAGTATAACTTTAAAAATTATTTTTACCTTCTCCCTCTTATTTACAAATTTTTTTATCCAAAAACTTGATTTCTGATAATTAAGAAAAGTCAAGTAATATCTTTGATGCCAATGACAAAAAAGTTTTCAAAAAAAGTAAAACTGATTGTAAAGTACTTGAAAACTTTTTAATCTTTAAAGTGAAAAATTTATAGAGATTTATTATAATTAAAAGACATATTTTCTTTTTTTTAAATTGTTTAATTCTTTTAAAGCTTTCATTTATAATTTTTTGAAAAATTTTGCTTACTTTGATTTAATTCTGAATTTTGGATAACACAAATTCTCATGAAAGATGATTGACTAATACAAAATATATTAATTTCTAAAATATAAACAATCTTTTATTAATTATATTTACATATTCTAATGATATTATTAGTGATTAAAAAAAATGTTTTAAAATATTTATTTCCAAAATCCAAATTCCTTAATAAAGACATTCATAATATCAAAAGATTAAATAATAGATAATATTGATTATAGACTTTTGTCTTTTAAGTTTCTCAAATAATAACAAAGCTTGAATAAATAAAAATTGAGATTTGAATACTTTTCTTGAGATATTTCAACCCAATACTTGCTTAAATAAAAAATCAATTGGATTGACTTGTTTGATACTGCAATTGATAAAAAAGAAGATTTCTTCTGAGGTTTAAGTGAATTAAGAATATTATTTCAATTAGACAGATCTTTTTTTAAAAAAAATTTGATTTTATTTTTGAACTTTTTTAGTAAACTTTGAATTGTATCTTTTTCCCAATCATTTTTTTTCTTTCTCTTTTTTAACTTAACAATTGATTGATTTTCAGATTAATTAATAATAACAAACTATTAGTAATAATTTTAATAGATAAAAGTTATAATCAATTTATTAAAGATATGTAATATTGTTCTCAAAATCTGACTTAAAGTACTTATTTATAAATACTTTGAAAAAAGGTTGTAACTTATTTAATAAAAAAATATTATTATAATATAATTACAAGTTAAAAAAAAAAACAATAAATTTTAATATATACAATATATACAATATATCATAAATTCAAATTAAAATAATATATATTTTAGATTTTCAACAAACAATCAATTTATATTTAATTAAATTTATCAGAACTTTAAATATAGTTTAAAAATAAATAAACAGAAAATTAATTATTACAATAAAAAAATAAAGATTCATATAATTTATAATATAATATATATTTACTTTAAAATAGTTTCAAGTTATTTTATTTTGACTTTTAGAAACTCTTATTATTGATTTTTGATCACATATAAAAAAAATGTTACAAGAAGTTTTATACTTCTAGGTTAACAAATTTTATTATTTTTCTTAAATCAATTTAAGAATAATATTTTCAGAAATCTTCATAATCTTCAAGTATCTTTTTTTATATTTTGTTATATAAGAACTTATGTTTTAATAATTATAAAAGCAAAACTATTCTTCTTATCAATAGCAAGAAAATTGAAAGAAAGTAAGCTTGACTTTCTTATCTCTTTTTTATTTATCAAAGAAATAATACAAAGTTGTTTGGATAATAAAAGACTCTTTTAAAGAAAACCTTATTATTTTCTTATTATTTGTTTGAGCTCTAATAGTACTTTTTTATAGTTTTTTCTAGAAGATTTTACTTATCCTGAATTTCAAATAACACAAAGTTTCACATACAGTAATTGATTAATGAAAATATATTAGTAATTAAGATATAAACAAGCTTTTATTGACCACTCCATATATCTGAATATATTTTCTCAGTTTTATAAGAATCTGAAACCTATTATAAGTTATTTGTCTATAGTGTAAATGGATACAGAATATAAAATCCATGATGTTATTGACTACACAAAAAGAAAAAGATAAATTAAAATATATTGAATAAAAAATATCAATTATTTTTTTTTCTTTTTTTCTCTTCTAACAAACTCAAGCAATAAAAAAAACATATCTTTTACCCTATAAAATAATAATATATATTTCCAGAAATAATATTAATTAAAATTTTTGTAGTTAAGCACTAGTAGAAGTTAAAACTCTATATAAAAAATCTTTAACATCAATAGTGCTAAATACTTTAGATAAATCTTTAATATATTAGTTTTCTTCTTTTGCAATAACAATAAGCCACTCAATGAATTAAAATCAGAATCATTGATAGAGATTTGATAAAGTTGGAATTTTAAAAAGTGCCTATATGTAGAATAAAAAATAATATAGTTTGATTTTTATTTTTTCTATTATTTTAATGTTTTATTTGTATAAGTAACTAATCTATATTAGATAATTATGTAATTATCTTATCTTGATTAGATAAAATATAAATAATTTACTCTTTATACTATTTATTTATTTATAAATTCTTAAATAATATAAATAATTATTTATCTTATTTGCCCCTAAATTTTTTATATATTTTAATAAAGTACTATATAGTATGGACTATAGTACTCTGAATATTTTATATTTCACAAATAAAATTTAAACTTATATCCAGGTATTATATATGGATATAAAAAGTTTATTAAATTTAATTTATTGTGTAACCATAAATTTGTATTAATTGATAACATGAAAATTTTTTGTTTTATAATACTAAATAATTATAATTATTTGTGGAAAAGGTGTTAAAAAAGCATATTATAATAAAAAAAAAAGATGACAATGATTTGTAAAAGAAAAACTAATGATTTTACAATATTTAGAAGAAATA